AGCATTTCAGAAAGTTGTTAGATACATGAACAACTCCACACTCAAATGATCCTTTAAGGGAGACTCCAAAACCGAAGCCGCTTACAGACCAAAATCAGATCAGCAGAGGTAGGGGGATTAGTAGGGCTGGAGAAGCAGTTATCCAAGTTCCCCTCTGCACGTGCTTAGAGGACTCTGGTTTTCCTGGGTCAGCAAAGGAAGGATGGATGAACCTGACCTGAGTCCACAGGATTTAAAGGAATGGCAGAAACAGAAGAAAGATGAAAGGCAGCACTTCCTTACCAGGGAAGTGAGAATGGTCCTTTCTGAACCTTCCTTCAGTCACTCCATCTAGGCCTCCTCTCTGCTAACCCCACCAAAAAATTAATAGTGGTCCCCTCAAGAAAATTAAAAGTGAAAGAGCAATACTCAGTCTAAACCGTATTATTCAAATTCCAACCACTTTAAAGACACCTTTTAAGCCTGGCAACGAAATCCATGTTTATTCTGTTTTCCATAGCACTCAGTAACAGATGACCCTGTCCTGAAAAAGTATATGCATTTTTTTTAATCTTCATTTACAGTAAAAATAATTTCAGCAAAGCAAGGACAGGGTTCAGATGGTGCATGAAGTCACCCTGCTGTCTACAGGATTTGGGAAACGTAGCACCACCAAGGGAAAAGTGAGCAACCGCTTCAGACCTGTAGGTAACTTGACTGCATCACATAGAGAAAGGAAGCAGATTTAGTAAAGGAGACCAAGAGAATGATGCTCTGGAGTTTGTAAGGCATAACTGAGCAGAAGCCAGTAGCAGAATAATCCTAAAAACAAAAGGGTTTTTGTTTGTTTGTTTGTTTAGGATGGGTTTTTTTAAGTTACTTTACAAACTGTACTTTAACCTAAATATTAATTAAAACTTACAGCATGACTTCAAACATGGGTCTATTTGACATTTCCGTTATGCTGGTACCATATACTAAAATCTTCACATGTAACAGCATATTATTGTGTGTAGGTATGTGTGCATACTAAAAAGCCATCCATGTTTAAAGAAAAACAGATTGCAAAACAATTGCTTGTATTTTATCCTTATTAAGTAGGTGCTACCTTAATATTGAAATTTCATCTTTCCAAACAAGTAAACATAACTTTCATTTCCTCAGCTGATACTCAATTGATACAGCTACATGTAGGTGGTGAAAAAGAAATTGGACCTGTGTAATAAGAAGTCCAAAACCATACCCTTTGTTACCATGTCCAGAAAACAGGACATGTTCTGCAAACTTGGAAGCAGCAGCAAAGTGAAAACATACAGGATTCCCACCGTCACCTACTTAGAAAACCTTTTGGTATAGTACTTAAAAATTTCTGTCTTTTGTAATTCAACTGTTGCAAAACAGCCATGTTGAAGAGACAGCTCCAGAAGAAACAAGTCAGAAAATCCGATGATAATTTTTATAATCTTCTGGTAGGTGCTCATTCAAAACGTAAATATAGAAGAAGGAAAAAGTAGCTTGATCCATACCATGCATATTTCTGGAGCTAAAGCTTTCAAGTGTTGATACTGAAGCTAAAGGTATCTCTTTTAAATAGTCTTGAGGTCTGAGTATAAAGAATTGCAAGTATCCCAGGTATACTAGGAAAGACAAGAGCAGGAAAATAAACTAAAATCATTCCTGATACTTTTGCCCTGATGTTTCCATGACAAGCATTACGCAGTTTGGGTAAGACTGGAAAACAAATTTGCTCTGTGATACCATTGTTTTATGAAAGCAAAAATACTTTTATTTGAAATTTGCCTTTTAGGAATCACTGCTGTATATTCCTCAATACCTCCTGTAGACTGAAATTAGTAACCCTGAAAAAAAAAAAGAAACCTTTATTTTCTATAATTATTGTGAAACCCAGATTATCCCATAATTTTATGAACAATATATTTCAACACCTTTCATAAAGGTGTATCTCAGTATCTCTGAGGCAATAAAAAACCCTCTGAGATTACTGTACAAAACCAGTCCACACCAAAACCAAGCTCAGGAACAAGAAGTTAAGATTTCTGCCTAGCAACTTGGCCTACACTCTGAACTAAAAAACAAACCAACCAAGCAAGCCTTACAGTTGACTTGTGCATTTAAGTCTATTAACAAAATGCATATAGACACACAAAGTAAACAGGGAGGAAGTCACCCCTCTCTGAAGACTTATATCCAAATTTGAGTCTTGTTTGTCAATTTAGGAAACATTTACTGAAGAGTCGGGAAAACACCCATACTTTGGCTTTACTGAAGTAACAAGACATGCTGCAGATAGCATTTTAATACTATTTATTTCAGCAACAGAAAGAAGGGCACATGTTTACATTCGAACCTTGCCCCAGTTCACAATATCTGGAAACAAGTTTGCAAAGTCATCTGGGATATAATTAACTTTAAGTACTCGCTGAACCTGAAGGTCACCAGAACGGTGGCAAGCGCAAGGCAGGGCAGAGCAGTGGTGGCTGACTTGAATCAGTTCATTATAAATGGCTCACTGAGCTCATTGGAGGCTCACTAGTGAAAGCAAGCGGTCCCTTCAGACGAGTCGGAAGACTCGACGGCAGTCTCTAACTCCTAAAATGTAAGGAGAAGGTCCATACTGAAAAAATCTCCTGTTGAACAGAGGTTTTGACGTGTCATATACACATTTAAAATAAACATGTTCAGTGGGGCCTTCCAGGGAAACACGGCTGAATTGCATGTGGGGCTACCAACCAACAGTGCAACCAGCCTCCCAACAGCTTTTAAGTAATTACTAATTTCAGCTAAACCCAGCTGGTGGGTTTTTTTAAATCCATAGATGGTGGAGTTCAAATGAATTCCACGAGTGTCTTAACTGAATGATAACAGGGAGCCAAAGACAGAGAAAGTGTCACTGTGTCGATGCAGCTGTGCAAGCTGTCTTTTCAACAGACAATGAAAGGAAAATCTGCCCCACAGTCCATGGGATGTAAAAATAAATTAAAAACTTACTGATCTTTAGAATATGTATTTTAATTGCCTTCTTGTAAAACACCTTTCAGAATTAGTTGACAGACTTTTAAAAATATTAACTATCAATACACTTTTAACAGTACATCTTTGTAAATCAAAT